AATTTTTTGATTTTTTTTTAAATTTTTTATAAAAATTAAAATATTAAAAAATTTAATATTTAATATTTAAAAAAATCAAAATAGCCACTTTGTTGATATGATTTTCTGGATAATTGACAATCGATAATTGCTGTAACACTGATAAGCAAGAAATAGATTTGAATTTAAGTAAACTTTAAGAATTATTTAAAAATTATTACTTATACTTGACTGAATCAGTTTGAGGCAATGGAGTGTTATAGCCTTTATTTACTATTATTAAAATTCAAATATAAACATTATCTTGTATTAATATCTACTTATTTGATTAAATTTTCTACATTTCCTAAACAGGTCAAACTTAAATAATTACCTTCAATTTTTTTTTTATGAAAACTTCTTCCCAAATTCTTCTACAAACCTGTATTTAAATAAACTAACATGATATCAAAATTTTTTTCATTATTATAATTATTTCTTGTATAAGATTTTAGTGATATAAAATGATAACTGCATAGTTATGTTTTGTTTTATGTAATGTAATACTAATTTCAAGTATTTTTCCTTTATAGTTATTGTAAAGGAGATCAAGAAATTCGAGATCAGCCATTTGGCATTCAAGTTAGAAATGTACGATGTATAAAATGCCACAAATGGGGTCATATTAATACTGGTAAGTAATTCTTGAAATATATATTATTATACAACTTATATAATATTGTATTGATTTTTAAATAATTTTTATTTAAATTGTTTAAGTAAAAAAATTAATCAAAAATATTCTAGTATTTAAAATATAAATTAATGTTTTATAGACAAAGAATGCCCCTTATTCAATCAGGCAAGTATATCAGAAGCTGTAACAAGTAATGCAACATCAAATGGTACTACTGCTAATAAAAAAACACAAGAATTAATAAAACAAATGCGAGAAGATGGTTTGGAATTGAAAAAAAGTGCTGCTTCTACACAGCAACAAATATCATTTGCAGTAAGTTATACATTTCTTGTTAATTCGACATTGTATAAATATTTCTTGTTGTTATTTATATAATTAAATTTAAAATATTAACAATATTTACAAATTAATTTTCAATTTTTTTATTTATGTGATCTTTCTTGTTAACTTTTTGTTGAAATCAAATTCTGTTACTTTATAAATCTATCTTTCTTATTATCTTTTATTAATATTGATATTAGAAGTATGAACTAATATAACTAATAATATGATATTCCTATTATTATAATTTTTTTTTTTTTTAATACAAATTTCAATAACTATATAAATTATTTCTATACCTTTAATAAGTATTAATCTTAATACTTCTACTTAAAAGTTAAAATTATTGATGACTAATTATTATTTTCAGAACAATGGAGAGGATAGTGACACAGAACTATTTATGTATGTAAAAACATTAAGTAGAAGGAAAAAAATGAAATTACTCAAGTAAATAAATTCAACTATATTCAAAAATTTTAATACTTAAATATTTTTATAACATTATTTGTTTTTATTTTGTTTTAGACGATTGGATAGAATGGACAAAATTATGATGAAAGAACAAAAGTCGATTTCAAAAAAAGAAAAACTTTCTAAAAAACAAAATAAAAAGAAAAAAGACAGCAGTAGTAGTTCTGATTCTTCTGATTAATTAAGTTTACTTTGTATGATTTTTTTTTTTTTTACCTATTTACTGTGTATAAATACATGCAAAATTTCACTTATCTGAAATTGTACAGAATCTTAGAGTAAAAAATATTTAATACATTATGCATGTCATTTTCAATTATTACATTAAACGAAGAACATGTTCCTCTTATCTCAATGTCATCTAAGTTGCATTCAATTTCTGTATTATCTGAAGTTATGTAAAATAACTGGATTATATTAAACTATTGGCGGATTTGGAATTTACCTATATAGTGATATTTAATCATAATTTGATGGCAAGTATACCAAAATCATGTTATACAAAACAACCATCTTTGCACAGACAATTTCTAAAATTTCTATTAGTTGTTGTCCTCAGAAAATTTATGTGAAGGTAAAAACCTAGTCATCCATAAAATTATAAGGTTATGATAAGCTTGCAGAGTTCGAGAAGCATAGTCAGGAATAATTAGAGGATGTAAATATAACTTTGAAAAACAATTGTGTGATTAAAAACGGTGAGCCTATATTTAATAAATATTTTTAAGAATTTTTTTCCCAACCAAAGCACCAAGACAGTTGAATTTTTTTTTTTTTTTTTAATTAAATGCATTTGATATTTTTAGTCATTATACAATGGTGAATTTAATCATTTCTTCGTTTCACAACTTTTTCCAAAATTCATTATTTATTTCTTATGGTATTTCACAAATAATATTCTTGCTTATTTTAAATTTAAAATATTAAAATGTAAGCCAATAAATGTCAAATTGGCTTACAAAAATGTCTTATATAAAAATTAATTAAATTACATAGTAAAAAAAAAAAAAAATTAAAATTGCAAAAGTATTAAATAATGACATGAAAAAATGCTTTGGTTCTGTAAACCAAAAAAAAAAAAAGAAAATAACATGCTTTTCATTCAACTTGAATTTTTCATATAAATAAAACTTGAAAATAATACCTAATTATTATTAAGCTTGTAAATTGAGACATTTTATCATACATTTATTTATAGGACATTAACTAGTAGATAACAATAACATAGTTGAAAAGGTGATATATGCAACAACCTTCTTTAATAATAATGTTACAAAATGTGAGTCATTTACCTCTAATACTCTTTAAAATACTTCTTTGATTAACCATTAAAAGAAAAAAATGAAATTAAAATGATAATGCAACTCATAAATACTCTGTTCCAAATAAGAAGACACTACTTTGGCGTATACAAATTACAAATGAATCGTGAGACGACATTCAGGCCCTCAAACAGTGGCTAATCATTCTGTGATTGTTCGTCGCTGAATATGTAAAAAATTGAAATATCGAATACAATTTGAATAACAATACGTTTACACTCATTACACACAATTGTGATTGGTAGATATGCAATTAAATATTTCAAAAATCTTTATGCAAATAATATGGTACAGGTTTCATGTTTAAACCTAAATTCTTACATCTCATTATTATCTTTCTCGTATACTCACACTAAATTTGTGTGATTTTTCACAAATTCTTTTAATTATTCAGTTAAAAATTCACAGTAAAATGATCATGATCTGTTTTAATTTTTTTCATGTTATTCATTAGTTATACTCTTATATAGTGAATAACAATAAATGTTATTATTTTTAAATATATATTTATATAAAATCTAGATGTTTATTTGATTTTCATTTATCAGTACCATTTTTTTTTAAGTTTAGTATTATTATTAATAATTTATATTAGTGGCGTAAACTGGGTGGTGCAAATGCAGCACTTGCACTACCACATCTTAAATGTGGTGGTTCAAAGGTATGTTTTTGCACCACCAGAAAATCATTGAAATATATAATATATAAACAGGAACATCGTCTCAACTTAAAATAAATAAAAAGATATTGTTGATTGTTTTTTTTATTAATTTTATAATTATAAAGGTTTTACTGCTAAAATAATTCAAAATGTATTTATTATTTAAAGAAATATATGGAAAAAATATATAGTTTATTGGGAAGGATTTTGCTTAGGAACTTAGATTATTGGTGTGTTGGAAATTATAGGTTGAGAATATGCCTCTGCACCACCAGTAATTGAACCCAATTTACGCCACTGATTTATATGATATATAAATTTATTTATTTTATTATTTTAGTTTATTAAAGTAGTTTACCTAAGTGTTATGACTTATGATTAACCTTTCTTTTGTACACAAAGGATTCCTCTAAAAAACATGATCGACAAACAATAAGATAATTTTTTCTTGATAAACCTAGCCTTAAATTATAATAAAATTAACAACAAAACCTATTTGATTTCCTATCACTATTACTTGGACAAAACAAGTTTATTCTATGTAACTCAAACGTCCCATTGTATAGCATCTTGTATTGTAAACCAAACGCTGTTCTGATAAACATAAAAGTCAAAACCTCAAATTAGATGTTCTTGATCTAAATCAATTTTGTATAGATAGCTCATACTATTATATGTTATAAATAACCTCATATGAAACTCTCAGTTTCTAATTTCAAAAATATTTTGATAATTTTTGGCACATGACCATTAACCGCGTACAGTTCTACCATATACTTGATGATTATTCATCAAAAAACACACACTATCTCAAAATATTATTTATCATTAAAATTTCTTATACCTTTTTAAATGATAACATACATTTTTAATTTCATATACTGAAGTGAAATATTTTTTGGAATATTTCAATATGTAAAAATAAAATTTTTGACAAATAGTTTATGAGTTATAAGTGTTTAAAGTATAGGTATTTTTTTTTTTTTTGTTATATTAATAATGTATACAGATTATAAATATTCTTTCATTTATTTATAATAAAAAATTGTTTCTATACACTCTACTAACAAAAAGAAAGAAAGTATTTCAAGTATAAGTAAGTAGAGTAGTAGATTGTCATTGTGCTGGATTTCTTTCTACACCATTCAACTGAACTTAAATACTTATAAGGTATTCATCTGAATTTTAATTTTGATTTTATTGAAATACTTTGAAAAATATTCTGCTTCAGAATCTGATATAAAATATGTACGATACTATTCAAAAAAATAAAACAAAACCATTAAAAAATCATAATGATAAAGAATTGTTGTTTAATTCAACAAGAAATTATAGAAAAAAAATATTTTTAAAAAGATTAATAGATTTTGAAATATTGAGCAGTTTAATAAAATAATAAGTATATAAACAGTAGCTTCTAGTATGGTGGTTGAACTCTTGGAAAATTGTTATAAAAAAACTATTATGTATAGCTTAACCTTTAATTTAATTTTTTTTTAAAGAAAAGTATGTACACAAATAGTATGATTAAAAATACATCAATAAAAAACTTACTTAACTAATACTCAGTACAATTAAAAATGTTAAAAGTAAAACATCATAAAAAATTTGTATAAAAATATAAAAAATTGCAGTCTTAACATAAGTCATGAATTTAACTCAATAATAATTTAAAAATTATATCCTGCTTTAAACATCAGTAGGATTGGTTGAAGTAGTTATTGAAGAATCATGATCTGAATTATCGTCATATAGTCCTGGATTAAAGAAAAACCTTTTGTTGAAACCTCTACTTGACCATTCTAATGTCTGATATCCATAAAGGGTGCTACTAAGTTTTTCTACTTCACTATCCACCTATATATATACATACACACATATAAAAATGTTACTCTTGTTAAAATAATAGTATAAATAATTTTTAGTTCAACATTATTATTTACAATTAGCATCATTGAAGCCAAATCCTTATTATAAGCATTGTTACGAATTACTTCACACAGTTTTTGTACAAACCATGACCCATCTATTGGATCACGTTTTGCAGTATGCCCTATAAAATGTAAAATCGTGCTTTTTATTAAACTGTCGATAAATAAAATGGTAGATATTAAAATTATTTTGATAATAATTATGATTTACCAGGAACAGTGGCAAATGCTATAAATATATCTTTATAACGTCGATTGTGAATAATATTTCCGGTTGAGGAAATATTGGAACTGTCATTTTGTAAAACATTATTTTCACCATCGCAGTATTCCCAACCAAAATCACTCATCTTTCCTCTTTAAAAAAGTAGATTATTGTAATATTATATTTTCATAAATCCAAAAAAAAATTATTTAATATTATTTAAATTATTATTACCGACAAGCTTGGATGAAAAATAACTTTGGTATATTTCTGGCTGTTTTTTTATTTGGTACAAATTGATCAATTATCCAGTCAGTATTTATTACAATGCCATCTGCAGCTAATATATTTACTGATCTTGAATCTTTTCCAGCTTCACCGTGACTCATAATAAAAACAACAATAGAGTTAGCTTTTTCAGTATGACATATATCAATGAATTCTTTAATGACATTTTTAATTTCCTACAAACAAAAACAATTTAAAAGTCAATAGTATGCAAAGAATTTCTTTATTTACCTTATATTAATTTTATTAATATATATTTGTTTACTTACCATTTCAGTTAAATCTTCTTTAGGGTGAACAATATAACCAAGACCTTTAAATAATTTCTTTAAGTTTTCTAAGTCAACTTTTGATCCTTTTCTTTCATCTCTGTCTTTTACATTATTAATATTTAAAATCAATGCATGACCCTTAGGATTTGATCCCATTGGATAAGCCTGTAAAAATATATGTTCAATATAATATTTTAACATTTAACATAATATTAAAATAAACATACAAGAGGATTTAAATTGTCTTCATCATTATCCATGCGTTTGCGTTCAGGATGAATTTTGACATATGAGTCATCATGTTCCACGATGGTTTTTTCAAATGATTTGTCCAATTGTTCTTTTACATTTCTGAAAAAAGTGAATATAAAATATAAATAGTATAAAATCTAAAAATAATAAATTTAAATGTTATAGTTTACTTAATTATTCAGGATATAAAACTACTACTACTTTCTAGTATAATACTACTTTTTTTTGCAAGTAAAAGTATTTTAGTCTGCTGAAAGTAATAGTGAAATCAGAAACTTTAAGTTTTAATGCTGTAACTATTTGAAATTTATCGTTTTTACAGACCTAAAATGATTTTATGTAACAAATCCTGGTACGTTTTTTTTTAAATTTTAATTGTCTGAGCTAGTGCAGCATGTCCACTGAATTTGTATATACTGTTAAGTTAGGTCAATATATTAATAAATATATTATAATAGCTATTATACTATAAATTTTTAAATTATACATTGTTTTACATTAAATTAATAATCTGATATAAATATACTGTGGGTAATAAGGTAAGCAGTATGCAATATGCACTCTGCATATCATACAATTAAAATAATAAAATAAAAACAAGTTCACTGTAAAATACTAAAACCACTAGTAGACTTTACTCAAACATAAAATAGGATATTACATACATTTATGATATGCTCTTTATTCAATAAGCAATTTAATTTTAAGTATAAATAGGGAGATACCTTGTTCCATATGATGTTAAAATGTCACGAGCTTTTAGATTGTTTGTTTTTTCTAACACTTTACATAGAGCTGTAAATGCATGAGGCCCCCGCCCTTGAATTAATTCGTACAATTTTGTATAGCTGTCTGATTCTCCATCATCTTTCTATAGAAATACAAGTATATATTAAACATTTTTAAATCATTAATAATGTGTAAAATAAAAATAAAATAAAAATTTCTCACCAAGATATATTCTTTCATCCATTCATTGATTATTGTGTTTTCTAATAGATTATCTACGATACCCCTAATGTTAAAAGTAACATATACTAAATCTGACATACAATCATCAATCAATTTTCTGTGATATTTTTCCATTGTGACTGAGCAATTTAGTTGAATAAATTCGATGGACGTATGACAGTACTCAAAATAAAGTACCTAGTAGATATACTAAATTATTGTTCCAAGTTGATTATTCATAATTACACTAAGAAAAAAATTACAATATGTCTTTTACTAATAATTATAATAATCTAATAATGAATAGTACCTTATAAATTTTAAATGTTACTTGTTGATAGTTAATACCTGTTGACTCAATTGACTGTTATTACTTATTAACTCGTAGTACTTATTGTATTACACCTAATGTACAATTGACATGAGATTAGATTGCACTCACAATATTGATAAAACTATTATTGTTGATCAAATCGTTTTAATCTTTAATACGATATGAGTCATGATATTAATTACTAATGTTCGACATTTGGACGTGTTCATGCCTGATTGTATTGTGTATCATGTCCACTGACCACTACCAATATTATTTTTGTTTTTTTCATAGTCACCTCACATAATCACATGTTATAACGTTCATAAAAATCGGCCTATAGATAAATGCTAGTGCACTCTGGTGAGGAAAATGATCAATTACTCACAGACAATAACAATAGTTTAATAATTCGTTTAAATACGTTGCGCGGCTATAGAATATACGCACAACACGCTATAGCTCATGGCTAAATATTAGCAAGTTTTGGTATAATAGCTATTGATGACGTAGCATTGAAAGATGCACAGGAAATCGGTGTCGCCTTATATTCTACTTTTAAATGTCGTGAGTTCGTGACCATAGTCTTAGAATGTCAGCGAACCTCGGGATGTCTTACAAGAGTACAAGACCGTGGCCATCACTTTCATAAACTGTTATCAGCCTCATCGCCTTATCTTCACTTGTCACTATTTCGTGGTTTATACCAACCAACCACGAAAGCGGTATAATTGACGCACATTTCGTTTTGTTAGATTTATTTGTGTGACACACTGACAACTATAATCATATTATCATAGTGAAGAAGACTGGCATTGTGTCGGTGTGTCGTGTGTGAAGACATTTAGATTTCATAGTTAATACATGTTATATACAATCAATAGACCGTAAACACATTACGCATTGTTAAATTGCTTCGCGACTGTCGTGAAATTAATTATTATTATAGTTATACATTAATAAACACCATTTTGAACCAATTATGGATAGCGATATGGCGGTCCCTCAACTGGATCAGTTTGTGTTGACTGTCAGAAACTTGGCCAATTCCTGTGAGTCCTGGACATAGTACCTACACAAAGTTTGACTCGGGCTTGTGAAATATATTTTAAATATTCCCAGGTTTTGCTCGAAAGTTTCAGTGTTGAAAATCTTTTTAATTTCTTTACTTGTATAAATGTATTTATTTATGTTAATATTATATACATCAGACACTCTGATCCTTTTTGATTGTTTGACTTTTTTGTTGATTCAGTATCTTAGATTAAGAATAAATATTATTGGCTTTGAAAAACCCAATAGCTCAATTAATTTTTTTGAAAATCATGATTCAATCACTATTGTTTATTTGGAAAGTTCAAGCTTGATGAATATTTTTCAAGTTCATATAGGCCTTTGATAATCCTTAACCACCGCTTAAAATCACAACAAACTTTCTAATTTACTCATAGTGTACTCTAGTCTTTACTTCTTGATTTATTTGGCAATCTAAGTACTAAACTATTAACGTAACTTAGGTAGTTGATCTATACCTAATTGCTTATTTTTACTTATTCATTCTTTTTCACCTATTTTTACTCGTTTGCTTAGCATTAATAATAATAATTTGTCATAATAACTTAATGATATTTTTTATATTTTGTTTGATATTTTTTGCAGGTGAAAATCGAGAACTTACCGAATATCTTTGTAAACAGTCAGAAACACTTCATAAATATGTTTCTAATTTAGATAGTGTTCTTGAAGCACTTGATGTTCATGAGAATTCTATCACGGTACTTACTGTTTTGGGTGTTAAAGCTACTGCCCAAAAACCCCCAGATATACCAGGGGTTCAATATCATACAGCAATAGCAACGCAAATTAATGACTTTGTTAATACCATCAGTGAAGATGAACTCAGAATTTTGGCTGAACCGTGTAAGTAAATTTTTAATTTTGTTCTTGTAATATATATTAATTATTGATTTGATTTTTATATTGTTTTATAGTGGCTAATGTAATGAAATCTATGTTGACTAACCTTGGTGAAATGGAGAAACCTATGTCTGCTATTCCAATTATAAGGCGTGCTATATGTAAATTACAAGAGAAACCATATCAATTAACTCAACTTCATTGTCTTTTATGTCAAGCCTGTTTAATGTCAAACAACCTTAAACCTGCCCTAAGTCTCCTGGATCAGGACATTTATGTATTGGGAACTGATGAAGTAAGTAATATAGTTATTAATTGTAGGTAGGTTTAAATCATTAGCCATTAGTTGCTCTACTAATGAGTATTGATTAAATACTAATAATATTACCAATTACATTTTATCAAACCATACTTACCTAGATATTTCAAGTATAAATTTAAACTTAAAATTATATATTTGGTTTTAGATTCTTATTTTTTAGTATAAGCAAGAAAGTTTTTACAATCAACACAACAAATTTTTCTTAAATATATTTTAAGATAATAATTAATTGCCTTAAATTATCTGTACATCATATTTAAAAAAAAATCATATAAGTAAATGAATGTATAATTCTGTGTTGAATGTCTGTTGAAATTATATTTTATTGAACTTAATTAAATTTAAATCTTAGTATAATTTATTTTTTATTTATTAATAAAAAAAATTTTTTTTTCAGCCTGGAGTGACATTTGATGCAAAATTTTTTTTAAGTTACTACTATTTAGGTGGTGTAATCTACACTGCAATGAAGAATTATTCAAGAGCAATTACATTCTTTGAAATTGCTCTTACAACTTTACTTCCTATGCTATCTCAAATCATGGTTGAATCATATAAAAAATTTGTTTTGGTCTCAATTATACATTTAGGAACCATACCTGCACTTCCAAAATTATCACCAGCTCTCATTGAAAGAGTGCTCAAACCAGTGTGTCAAGCATATTTAGATATAATACTAGCGTATCAAAGTGGTGATTCTGAAGAATTACAAAGAACCATCGTTAAATACAATGATGTTTATATAAGGTTTGTTCATATTTTTGTAATTCTTAACTAATAAAATTAACTGAAATTTTTTGTCAATAAATATAGAGATAATAATAAAGGACTAATAAAACAAGTCGTAAAAGCATTGCACAGGAAGAATATACATAAATTGACAAACACTTTTTTGAATATGTCAATTTCTGATTTAGCACAGAGAATCAATCTTCCTGACACAGTAGAAGCAGAAGAATATTTAATGGCCATGGTATTTAAAACAAGAGAATTTTCCAATAAAATACTAAATTAATTTACAATTTTAGATTGAATCTGGTGAAATATATGGCAAAATCAACCGTAAAGAAGGTACAATTATGTTTAATGATCCACCCAAGAAATATGAAGACCCAAGTGTCCTAAGAAAAATTTTAGATGAAGTAAATTCATATATACCTTATATTAGTTATGCACTTTAAGTGTATGTAATATGTATAGTATTATTCAAATTATGATTTTTCAGGTAACTAATAAGATATCATTTAGCAGTACAGTACGAATGATGGATGAAGCTATATTAATAAATCCATCATTTGTTAAAAAAACTAGTAGTGAAGATGATGGACTATCTTTAGGCCAAAGTTCGTCCAAAAATTATCAAGCATGATCTAAGGCTCAAAATTGTATTTATACTGTAGATTTATTGATTTGGACATATTTATGGAAAACTGAAATTATAATTTTTCTATTGTAATTCAAAATATCTATCAATTTAATCATGTTCTTTTGCAAATGTTACTAAAATAACACAAAAATCACATAAAAACAGTATTTAAATTATTATTCCTTACAAATAAGTTAATAATAATACATCTTATGAAAATATAAAGTACACATTGTTATTAACGTATTGTATATAAATATAAATATAAATTATAATGATTTGAATAGGTATTCACGAAACATATTTTTTTTACGTGATATATTGAAAATATAAAATAATAATAAATGATGGAAATTATTAAAATAATGTCAATTTATATTTGCAATATTAGTTTAATATTTTGATACATTTTTTTTTGTCTGTCATCACCTCTTAGCAGTAAACATACTTCAATCTTTAAGTAAGAAGCTTACCTATTTAGCTGATAGTTGAATGAGGGCGGTTGAAAGTAAAATTTTACATTTAAACAATTTTTTATTGATATTTCAAGCTTTACTTATAACTAAATTGGTTATTTAAACAATAACAACTTTTCAAAAAACATTTTTATTGTTACCTTAATGTAACTTAAGTTTTTGCCATTACATATATTATTATTTAGGATACACAATAAAAATTTTAAAATATGATTTATTTTAAGTTATATATGCGTCATACCATCAGTTACCATTCACACTACTCTGTAATGTGTTGGTAGTGACTTAACCTTTTTGAATCCAATTTTTTATATGAAAATTGGTAATAATAAAATTAACTTTCTATACATTATCTATTGCAGATAGTACTCCCATGATAATAACCAGTGATACATCAAATGTTTTAAGTACTTTAGAAAATAAGTTAATAAGCAACTCTATGAAGTTAAAATTTCTAGATTTGATTTAAAACTCCATTAAAAGAAGAAAGAAACCCATCTAAATATTTAAACAATTATAATTTAAAATATTACTATTAGCTTTGTTTTTGAGTATTGAGTTCTCACTATTCATGGAACACAGTCTAAAAATCACTTTCAATTTTAAGTTTAACTTCACCTTTTAAAGTTTTTAATTAATTTATTATGATTGCTATTAATGCTATTTAAATCATAGCAGTCATAATTTCTATGTCCATTTGCAAAGATATTGTAATTAATAATCAGGTACATATAATATCAGGTTGGTATATATAAAGAAAGGTCAGGAAAAGGTCCAGTAAAACTCATAATGCATACAATTCAGATTGACCATCGTTAATGTAAAATTTTGAAAATGCTTGAACGGGGTAAGTCGGGGAGCTGTCCCATCTGCCCCCCACGTATGTATTAATATTTGATACCGTTAATAAACGATGGCGCCGCGGAAGCAATGCAAAAGCAGATCCCGCAGAGTCATGGTTAAAACAAAAAAAAAAAAAGGTATATATAAAGAATCTATCCATTTTAAAATTATGTCTAATTGAAGATTGGAATTTGCTTATTATTTTGTTTAACGCAATACTTTTTTTAACTAGAAAACTATACTAGCTAAACTAGATTTCTATTGGTTTATTTATAATCATAGTCAAGATAATTTTAGTTTTACCAGGTAAGTAACTAAATTATTATGACTAACATTCACAATTAATAATTTTTAAAAATATATATATTACTATGAATATTTTCTAATTAAAAATAATATACCTCTAAAAAGTTTAATAATAATACAAAAATACCATGTTAATTAATATTGAAAAATACAACTTTGTATATATAAACAATTAAATTATTTATAGGAAATTTTAATATTCATTCATTTTCGATTAGTTATCTTAATTTATATAACATAAAACTTTCAAACTGGGTTCAATAGTATAAAATAAAATTTATAATATTAAATATAATTAAAATACATATTAAGTTGAGTATAATACTTAATCCAAAATTATTAAATTAACTAACAGTAAAAACATATACAATTTTTAATGGAATAAAACATTTTAAAGATACATTTAAAATATTTTTCTTTATTCAAAAATTTGTAAAAAAATTAACTACAAAATACTTTATATTTAATAAGAAAATTGTAGTTTAATACAAAATATAAAATCATTGCAAAATATTGAACACTTTTTTTTTTTTTTAATTTATGATCGTTTGGTTTTTTGATCATAAAATTTTGCTAACATTGCAGCAGATAAAGCAGCTAAAGCTGCAAAAATATATGCTCCACTAGAACCATATATATCCATAGCCAATCCGGCTACTACTGGTGTAATAGAACGAGCTACTGAGATAGAACTAGTCATAGCACCTTCCAGAGTCCCTCTATTTTCACCTATACAGGTTTCCGATAGAATTTGATTTAAAAATACTTCAATAAGAGTACCAGCTGCCGTGATGGGAAACATGCATAGAATGTGAAACGTTATGTTTGGAGCAAATGACAAGCAAACATACCCAACAGACAGTAAAATAAAACTAAAGAAACATTTTTTAAATGAACTATATTTATGAAAAAATGGCTCCAATCTGGCAACTGCAAATCCAGTAGCAACACCAATTGAACTATTAATTGATAATGTATAACCCACTTGGGACGGTGTGAGCTTATAAGTTTCTATGAGTACAAAACCAAATGTCACCATAGTTGTTGATAGTGTTGCAGTGTACATCATTCTCATGAACAATAATGGCCAATATTCTATCCAATCAACTTCTTTTAAATGGTGAAACATATTTTTTTTTAGACCAGTTGTCTTAATCATCTTGGCTGGAACACTAAATGTAATAATAATGACATTAATGGCACAAAGTAAACTGGTCGAACAAGCCAAGTAGTAAAAACCATTTTTGTATTCAGCCAAATAACCACCATATATTGGTGCTATCATAAATGCTAATGAAATGAAACTATTCAATTTTCCATGGGCACTTAATTGTTGAGTTTTAGGTACATTATCGCCAATCAATGATTTTCCTAACATTTGAGTGTGTTTGAAACATCCTAACAATAATCGAATAATTGCAATTGATAGATAAGAATCGCAGTGCCCCATAGCAAAAAACGCAAAAACACTAAAAATCATTGAAAGCAAAAGCAATGGTTTACGACCAAAATGATCACTTAGTGTTCCAACTATGGGACCTGTGATTAATTGAAAACCTGAAAAGAGGGACTCTAGAAGGGTTATCTGCAAATGAGTAGCTCCAAATTTTAAGAGACGACGATTAAAGGTAGGCATGATTGTAGCTAGACTGGCTATGTCCAAAAAGCCAATTATATATATATAAATAAAGTTTGACATTTTTAGAATAACTGTACACAAATATATTAAGTGAGATAAATAAATAATTTAAACTAATAGAAAATAACAATTATAATTCCACTTTTTCAACGTTTCCTTCAACCTGAAAAAAAATAGTATTTATTAAAATTATTTTTAGTGACTAATTAAATCAATTAATACTAATATTTCTAGTAAAGAGGAAAGATAGATAAACCAACAATTTTGTCAATTCTGGATTAATTTTAAAATTAAGATTTTTGATTTATTTATTAACAAGAAAGCAAAACAAAATTTGTGTGAGCCATTGTCATAACACTAGTAACCACTACCAGGATTTAGAGTATTATTCATTAAATTATTTATTTGATAAATAGTATTAAGTTTTTACTATAGACTAAAATGTCTCAATATTCCATTAAATTAATAATTGGGTTTTTTTTTTTAATATATAGGCACTTCAAGATTAAAGAATATGTTATAAAATATGATTTGCTTAGTATTTTCTTTATTTAAATAATACATTGAAAAAAATGTATATTTTTATGTGTAATTTAATTAAAACGACAATAGTTGAATAAATAAAAATTCATAAAACAGTACTTTGTTAAATTGAAACTATCCTCAAAATCACATGTAAAATGTGCAACTAAAGATAATAAGCATATAAAAAATATAAAATTATAAAAATAGTAAATGCTTACAAATGGAGAGGCTGGACCTTTGTATACTTGATTTTCAATTGTTACATCAACACAGTCTTCTTGTTGTATTAGAAAATCCTTTGCATCCCAAGCTTGTGAGCCATCTTTATACATGAATATAGCTCGATTATCATCAACCATAAATCTGTAACACAAATTAAATTAATACTTAAAATTGATTAAAATTTGTTTACATTAGTTTAATTTATCTCACGGTAATAAATAATATCTAATCATGCACACCTACACTCAGTGCATTACGAATGATGTATTAGCAAAACACTAACCTACAAACTGACTATTTTATTATTCATTCTTATATAAATCTTTTGACAAAGTTCATTTGATGATAACATTCAGATAAGATATACAATACATGCTTACTCCTATAATAGTCTAGTTTCTAGATTGTATTTACATATCAATAAAAAATATTTAAATTTCTACATAAAGCAAATATACAAATGGTATTTTTTTAACAAAATTAAAATTATAAATTTTAAGTTAAAATAAATATTTTGAACTAATAAAAAAAAAGCTTGTAATTATTTTTTTACATAAAATGATATTCTATATTATTAAAGCAATATCATAGTCTTAATAAATTAATTACATTTCTAAATAATTAATTGAAAATTTTTTAGTTTTTAAAGCATATCTTACAATTGTATGGTATTATTTAATTACTTAAATAAAAACTTTACAAACAAAATTTAAGACCAATAACTTTGTCAATTTTAGAAGTAAAAAAAAAAAAATTGAAGTCAACCTACCCTATTATTATTTTACTATACTATTTTTGTTGAAAATTGTACAATAATATTAAATATTAAGCAAATAATTAGTTATTAATTGTATTTTTAATTTAAAAATAAAAATAATAGTTTTTATTTTCAAATAGTTTAACTGAATATTTTACCATTCTTGATACAAAAATACATATTTTGTGAGTTTTAGTCAAGATCTGAGCTCTATCAATAATTACTTATTATTAAAACATTGTTAAATAACAGATATGTATAAAAAGAAAAAGAAATAATAATAAATTAAAAAATTAAGTGGATGATCTAACTTTTATTAAAATATGACTTTTGTTTATACTTCAAAGCACAGATACAAAAAAACAGACCAGTTAAATTATATATTCATTTAATAATCATTTTAAAATAAATTATATTCTACATACTTGAAATATTATTAATGCTTAAAAAATCTAATAAATTAAACTTTTCAAACCTTTCTGCTTGAATGTGGTTGTTCCAAAGACTTGATTGCCAGAGTTTAGTTATTTTCTCGACATCATCTTTATTATACTTAGGTGATACTTTTACAAATGTCATTAAAGTTTTGCCTTTTTTGGATAGTTTTAATATGGCATCTGGATCATTTCCTAACTGTAAAAATCACAAATTAGTCATTCAATAATTCTGTACTTGACTATGGATACTAAGGTATAATTTTTATTTTATAAATATATTGGTATAATTTAATTTTAATTTATTATTTCAAATTGGAAGATTTTTACTAGGTTTGAATTTTTTATATTACAATTTAAAATACAACACAAAGAAGTTAGACATGTAATTTATAAAAAAAGAATGTAATTTTTTAAAATTATTATTATTTGTAGATACAGATTATAATCCTTCAAATTAATTTAAACCTAATTAATTTCTAAGTATTAATTAATAATTGTTATACCTAAAAACAATAAAGTTAATTATTTTAAAATATTAATATGATGTTAAAAGTATTGACAAAGAAAGCTGAATTTTAACATGCCAATTAAAAGAATATATTGAATCACAATTTGAGACAATTTATACTTTTGTAGCCACCATTTTCCAATAAAATGATTTAAAATACAACTTAAGTGATTAGCAGGTACTTTTGCTGATGGTTTTATATAAAAATAGTTGATACAATAATTAGACATGTCATTCATCAGTTCAAAAACGTATACATACTCTTTACCAGTAATTTTATACTGAATTTTAAAGTAAAAAAGTAATTAATGCAATATTCAGTGTTTCAATTTTGATTACTGAATTAAATTTGAATAACTAGTATACAATATTTTGTTAATTTAGAGAAATGTTATACATATAAATTAGTAAATATTCAAAATAATACAAAGTATAGTTATACAGTAATTTTAAAATTACCAAAGTTGGATCAATATTGACAGGAGGTCTCAAGTGTTCAGGTAACTCGTCAGGCTCCAAAGGCTCTTCATCTTCCTATTGAATATATCAAAAATATGAAAAAGCATTGATAATATAGAATACTAATATATGTTTATTTCTAAGTTGTGACGCGAGTTGTTTTGATTTAGCCGGTATTGAAAATTAAAATGCATTTTTCAAGGTTATATTCAAACCTGTAATTATAATAATATCTACCTCCCACTGGTCAAGCAATCGCTCCATGTCGGCCTCGGAATAAAAGTTAATATCTTTTTTAGCCCAAGACGGTTTTTGACCGTCGGGTGATTTTTTTGCAACCACTGCAGCCATCAATACTAACGCCACTAAAAGCATTGAACGAATCATTTTTAAAACGAAAATATAATAAATTTACTATTAACCGAATAAAACTGCGTGATGTTAAAAAAATAATTCACAGGACGCGGTCAAAGCGAAAAACGAAATGTATATTATGAATTTAATGACGACACGACTATCGAGTGTCGAGAAGAAAATGACGATTATAATTTACAAGGGAGTTGAACCCAATCAAACGAAATTCCAACACGTTACTGGGTTAGCCGAATTCAGAATTAACGGGAATCCGTTGTTGATCGTCGATATTTTTGTTGAAATTCTTTGGATCCGGTTGTCACGTCGGTACATGATAACCGGTGTGTTGATATTTTGATAATATGGAAGTGTTGATAACTGTGACATGGAAACGGAGGTGGTTATAGCTCGATCAGTTACATGAACGATGAACATAATGCTGTTAAAATGAATACAATATACTATTATAATTATTTTTATCTACATCGTAAGTAAAAAATTGACAACAAGAATAAATACAATAATTATATAAATTTGTTATTTATTGTTTGAATTTATGGTCGACAATGCCGCCAATGTTTACGTAAATGATAACATGTCTAGTATGTGATTCATGGACAAGACTGCGTGCAGCGCCCGCGAAATTGAGATTTTAAAACACATGCCAATGTCATAGAACGGTATTGTTAAAATTTGTCAAACAACTGAAATAATCGAATTCAAATGTATTCATAAATTCAGATTTCGTTGCTTCTTAAATTTCAAAATATGAACGAGAAGAATAATATGACAATAATACAAATAAAACAATAAACATTTTATATTTATAACCAACTGAAACTATTGAAGTATCTCAAGAGTGAGGTTAATAAAATGTAAACTAATAGGTAGGTAAATATTTAAAATTTTTCAAAATCAAATCAAAAAGGATTTATCAAATCTCTATATCAAAAAATATAATGTACATTAAATCGAAATAAATTGAAAATGGTCAATTAAATCTAAAACTTAATTTAAGTATTGAGTGTCCCATCTTCCACATATAAGTCTACCTGCTACTTGAAAGTTAGAATTACGGGTAAGAGTTTTGTATAAAGATTTGGTTACTAATAAATTCATTTCAGGTTAGGTTGACCCTTCTCCAAAGTACGGTCTTGGTTGTGGGTATGAGTTAGTTCGAGAGCTCGAGCAACCGATAATAAAGTTGACAACGGCAACAAGTTTCCGAAATGCCGTTTGTTTTGAATTTATTTTCCTTAATAAAATATGCCCGGTTACAATATTATTCTCTTTTTCAGGTATATGTGGTAGGTGTGCATCGATGTCATGGTAACGTGCTGCAAAACAAAACAGCTCTTACAAGCATAACGTGTTTGGTACTAAGTAGTAAGTAATCAAAATTGTAGACGTGCTACCAAAATCTTGTTTGTAGCTGTTGTTGCTGACTTTTTATTTTTCTGGGTAAATATTATATTTTTTTGTGTTCCGAATTATTGATTTTTAAATACATCCTAATTTATGTAATCAATTATTGGCAATGAATAAAATATAAATATGTTATACAACCATGGAAAAATATATTATTTTTTAATTTTGTGGCAGAGCCGATTTTAGAATTTTCTTAGGTATACTTATTTTATTTTATAATAATTTTATTGTGATTCTATTATGCAGTTAAATTATTGAGCATCGTAATTTTTAATGTTTCGAATACATTTTTGATTCATTTTACAAATTATAAAAATTACATATCTACATAACATAAATTAATTTAACTGTTGATTTTTCAAAAAGTTTATCAACTTCGTAAACATTTTGTGACAAATAATCGACTACGTATAATACTATTTAGTATTTATAATCTATCATTAACGTGTAGGTAAATTGTGTTACTGTAGTAGTATAGTGAAATATTGGTATTATACGTAGGTAGTATAGTTATCAGTAAAGATATTCTTATTAGATAATCTCATATATTTAGTCAGTATATTGGAAAACATTTATTTTATTTTATTATTTTAAGTATATATAATATACAAGCTTAAAAACCTAATAAAACTTACCCTTTGTATACTTAATGTTTCCGCAACATTTAAAATAAATACATTTTATTATAATTATTATTCACTACATATTATGACTACTCTACTACTGTGCGTTTATACCACGATATAATTTATTGTATTTTTATTTGGTCGACTGCAATTATAAAAATGGTTTATAAGTTATTTGTAAAATGTAAGAGATAAATTTAAAAATAATTTCAACACAATTAAATTTGTTATACATATTATTAACTATTGAAAATTCCTTAAATTTTACTATGAAGTATGTAAGTAATAATATTATTCATTATAATGAAATAGTAGATTATAGCCTATGCTTAAATTAATAGGTAACGGGCGAGTGTGTAACTCATAATTTACTTATCAAAAGTATTATTGATATTCATAGTTGATTCATAGTTGTTGGGAAAACAAGGGCAATACATAAGGTAACATTGCTGTTTTAACTTTTAAACATGATTAGCTTATTATATTTTAGTGAATCATTGAACTAGTTAATTTTAAAGCAACTCAAAGTTAGCTATTTTAATTTTTAGGCTAGTTAAACAATTTGTTATTATAATATTATAATTATTTAGGCATCACTAATAAAATATCATTATTATTATTTTTGTTTAATTATGTTATTGTACATATTAAAATAAAAAAAATGAAGATAGTAGTTAATCTTTCTGCTGTATAATAGGTATTAAGTGTATCTTATCACTGTTTGGATGTGTTAAATTTGAATTTAATAATACATATATCATTAAAATGAAAAACAAATGTAAGCAGAGACCGTTTGATAGTCTTAGTCTATATTACTAAAAAAAATTGTATGATATGTTTTTGTTATTGTTATTTAAGTAATATATTTTACTGTGGGCCGATTTCATTATTTTTGAAAACGTTAATTTAACATATTTATTATATTATTAAATATTCATACATAGGTATTTAAGTTATTAAATTATTTTCAGTAATATATATTTGTATAGTTTATTATTGTTATAACTTTTGAGCCATTAATATCTAACTTTAAAATTCATGGTATAAATAAGTTTAAATATATTATAGCTTGAATTAAATTTACATGTTTTGAAAATATTATGATGTATATTAAAATTATAATTATAGGTAAAAGTTTTAAGTTTAAATATATAGAATTTTTATATTGTAACGAAATAACTAAAATTGTTATTCTTCGTTTAGACATTTAGAATACTTTATCTAAATTTGAATTTCAATTGTCCATAAAAAGAAATGTGATTAAATATTTTTAAGATATTATAGTTTCAATATGAACTATTGTTAAATTTGTAAAAAATTTTCAAGTCTTAGGTATAAAAATTGAAAATTGAATAAATCGTTAACTATAAGTAAGTACAAACTAATTTACAAAATTTGAAGTTTAAATTCTTGTTATAAAAAAAACGCGCCTATATATGTTTTTAATATTTACGGTTATTTATTTTCAAATTGATAATTAGTTTTAAATAAAAGTTTTTATTTTTCCAAATTTTTAAAGAAAAATGTTATACATTTATACTTTTGCCCCCCCCCCCCTCAATCAAAGTACCTACTGATTAGATTTACTTTTCTAACAGAAAAGTTTATTGTAATTTCCTTTTTAATGCTCAAAAAGATGATATGTAGAGTATACATCATAGACACATTATACTTATAAAAAAAAACATTATTATAAAATGAATACATTTATTAGTTTGTTCAGGATCTAAAAATATTAATTTACAAAGTCCAATAACTATATTTGGCAATTATTTGTGATTAATTTTCCAAATATTGGTACATTTTTTCATTTCACCGAAATAATGTCGGTGAACAAATTTTACGGATATGAAAATTATTAGTCAATAATTTATAGAGAATTGTTGTAAAAAGAGCGTTGTACTGTTGTGTTATTGTGTATGAATTCATAAATATAGGACACAAAAATATATTTTACCATATTATGCAAAGATTTTTTATAATTAATATAATTTTTTTTTTTAGTTTTATCATATTGATATTATTGTTATTAACGATTAATAATGAGTGACAATTGGCGACAAACAATGATGAACATTACTGATCGTATATTTCCATCTCTTCCACCCGAAGAAAAAGTTGGGTCAGCTTTTGGTACGTGGTTGATTTTGTAAATAAATATCATTTTCGTCTTTTAAATTTTAATAATGGAAGTTTTTGAAATTTGTTCATAAAATTTTATACTAAAACAGTTTAATATAATATTAATACATATTAATTATTATACAGTATACATAAAATATATATACTGTTGTACTATTAGTGTATGTTTACTAACTCTATATTTATTTTTTTTTTATTATTATTATTATTGATCTTTATATATAACTTGGTAGCAAAAGCCATTAGTTAATCTCTTAAATACTAATTACAGTTTTTACACTTTTTGTGAGTGTTCATTATGTTACATTATCTTAATAGTTACAATTACAATTATATTTTATTTATAAGGTTGGTTAGTTTTAAAAAGGTTATAATTTTCATATTTTTATCGGGGTTTGGTCCGAGAATTTTATCCGTTAATTTTATTCCGCTAAATTAAGATTTGTACGCTTTTGTTGGTACATATGACATTCTGTTATGATGTGTTTGACTGTGATCTGTGTTTTGTTAGTTTCGCAGATGGTAGATTCATCATTTGACATAAGGAACCTGTGCGTTATCCTTGTGTGTCCGATTCTTAGGCGATTTATAGTTGTTTCGTCTTTTTGATTTAGGTTAGGGTTTTCCAATCTGAATATATAAATATATAAATTATATACTATTTTTGTGTATTTTATAATACATAAATCAGTATATATATAATGTAATACTTAAAATTAAAAAAAATATAATATTATTTTAAATACTCTCTTTACTAATAGTAAAAAAAAAAATATAATATACTTTTAATTTCTATATAGGTAACGAAATCGTGTCTAGTCTTCCACTGCAAATGTCACTATATTTTAACATCGTATACTTTCCATTTTGGCTTTATACATTCTTATCACTGATTTCGTTTAAAGTAAGTAATAGTCTTGGTAAATTTATAGATAAATTATTGATATAAAATATTATATATTTATTTTTAATTTGTTTTTAGTTGAGTTGTTTAAGCATGTTGACGCAAACTATAATTTCCGTGTCTTTATTTTTGATATTAATTTTAGAATGTGCTCGATTGTACTTGGGTGTTCAAGGAAATCTTAATGAAAAAGTAAGGAAATATTTTAGTAAATGGATAACATCTAGGTCTTCCTTAAAATAATACTTTAAATTTCAACAGTGTTTTATTTATTTATTTATTTTTTTTTGTTACAATAGATTCCGGATTTGGCTGCATTTTGGATGTTTTCGTTAATCCTCCAATTACCTTTACAGTTAGTATTTTTGTGTTTGAATACTATGCCTGTCGAAATCGCTGTTCACAGTATAATGTGCATTTTGCTTATGTCACAACTCATTTTTGGGTTCATAGTTCTACGTGACATGGCAAAACACCACAAACTCCGTTTCCATGTATCACAATTTTATTACAGCCAGCACAGCAAAACTGAATGAACTATAAATATGAAACATGAAATATGTGATCTGCTATTGCATTGTCTGTGTAAAAATATCATTTTAAATCATCCAAACGCGTTATAATATTTAGCTATGGGTTTTCTATTTTCACAAAATTTAATTAATGCAATTACATCAAGTATTTTTGCATACCTTTATTAATATTTTAAATACATATTCATAATAGATGATTCGTATTATCACACTTTCGCAAAAGAAAAGCAAATGTTTAAAAATGTTTTTGGTTCGAGTTTTTTGTGCATGCGGATGATGTTCGCAAGTAGGATGGCATCGTAGTGCAACAAAAGAACTTTGTTAAGGGCGAGTTAACGACCGAAAGAGGTAAATGAGTCGAGAGAAGGACTGGTCGGGCATATTCAAACACCAGATGGAAGAGATAATAGAATATTACGCGGAAACACAGAAGTATTTAATATAATATTATACATGTGCGGTATGTGTTCCAAGGGACGTTTTAAGGGTTAAACCATTGTCTAGGGACTCCGGGATACGCCAGTGCGCCGTTTGTCTTACAGTTGTGTGCGCCATATCTCCGCGTGTATAATATAATGAAAGTTAATGAGGTTGAAATGCAGATTGCAAAGCAAGACGGTACCGTTTTCGCTGATTAATGGCTCCCCGTTCGCGGAGGAAACAATGCGATAATAACTTTATTACGCCGGACGAACAAGTCGTGTCGCTCAGGAAATCCAGCCCAGAGTGTGTTATCAGGTCTCTCGAGATCTATCTTATGTTGTAATCGCATTGATATAATATAATACAATACTCCGACAGACATCGGTTCGTTTCCAATACTGTAATATAGCATTATTATAAATTACCATGACGTATACAGTTATAATATATCTAAATATTAATAATATTATTTTTATTTACTATAAATTTAAGTATATAGTGCGAAAGATGTCGATAAAGAGAAAAATATTCAACTCATATTGATTAAGGTTGTTTAAAATTTCTAACGTTATATGCTCATTTATTATTGTATTAAATTATTGTACTCTTACATTTTAAATAGAAACAATAGTTTAATAGAACGTTATATGTATGTATCACAATATTTGTTATCTTTAAAATATATTATATTAATAATAATCATCTCCTATGTATTATGTTTAACTAATTTCAGCTTAATAAATATAAGTTCTTCAATTTTTATCTCATATTTATATAGTGCTTTTTTTTAGATTATCAGACAATTGAAAAGTGATGGAAATGAATTAATTTTACAATGATGTGTGTTAAAAATTGTTTTTCTAACCTAACCTTTTGAAGTAATAAAATTGCTTCCATCTTCTTTATCTTAAACTTTCAGGGAGTTTTTTTGTAGAAAATTAGATCTAGTACGACTTGAACTTTTCATCAAATATTTCTAATAACATTTCATAAACTTGGTACGATTTCATTTATTTATTCGGTTATTTTTGAGCTATTTATACGTTAATTTTTATTTTGGTATTTTTTATAAATGTTGTTAAAAATGTTTAGGCTTAGTTATAAATCTTAAAAGTATAATACATGGTTTCTAATCAATTGCATTTATAGTGATTAGAAAATATTAAACAAAAATAACCTTTTTAGTTATTTAGTAGTATTTCAAAAAATATTATTATAGGTATTTGCTATGTTCACCATTATAATATGTATATTACTATATGTTAATATTAATAATATTTTAAAAATATTAGCGCAGTTTAAATTTAACGTAGTTTTATAGTTGGGCTAATATTATTATAGAATGAATTTTTGTTTCGTTAAATATGTAGTAGGTACTATTTAATTTCAGAAAATTTTAGTAAGTTATGAAAATAAATTACGTTAGGTACCTAATACTATATTTACTAACAACAATGTTTACTTATTAATTTAATCAAAAAACTTTTGTTCACCTACATCTTATCAACTTCGCAAGTTAAAAATACAATAAATATTTAGTGTTAGAGCCTTACAAAGTAGCTACTTTACTTATTAAATATTAGAAACAAACCTCTTATTATAAATTCAAGTTTATCATATTATTATATGATTCAAATTTCAAATTAAATTAAATTGGTTTAAAAAAAATATATTTTTAAACAATTTGTGTTCTTATATTTATTGTATTTTTTTTTTTTAATTTTAATAACCATTGAGTATAAAATAAACCTTTTAATATTCATATATATATTTTGTTTGTGAAACAAAGTATTAAGTAGGTCATAAAATATCATATTTAAAAAAAAAATCATTTTGTCATTTACAAATAGCTAAAAAATTATACAATGGAATAATAAGCTAGGTATACATGTATACATTTTGAATAGTCAATAGGATATAGACACGGTCAAATAATCACATTTCAATGTAACTTGGTTTATTTTTATTTTTTTATTCTACCACTTCTTCCATAGGTTCGTAACACTTCGATAAACGAGTGTCACACAAGAGGGTATACGAAGGGACATAATGAATCGCACTTGCAGAGAACAGGTGGCCCTTTATAAGGGGTGGTTGGTTGGTTGTTGTAATGAAGGGTCGTCTCACCCCTCGGGCAATCCCGGCCGGCAGGTCAATTTAATAGTCATTCGTATTTTGTTAGAGTATGTTTAAAAAAAGCGTCCCCAGACTAAATGGTTTTTGGTTCGTTCGGAATGATAAAAACTTTGATTAGAACATTTGTAGTTGTAATTCGTTTACAAATGCATTTATCGTATGTACCTACTTCTCTTACATAACGTATTGACAGAACACGTCCGTATGCTATAGTAAAATATAGTTATTATTAGAGTACCGTCGAGTTTTAATTAATATATAATACATATTAATAGATACAAAGAAGATTAAAAAAAAAACAAAAACTATTGTTATTTAGACATTTTAGATGATTAATACAGTAGGTACATTACATTTGAGTGTTTGCAGTAGCCAGTTTATAATGATAATACCTACGTAAATAAACAAACTCATAATATTACTGTCGACTTTGAAACATATTCAGTCATTGGAACACCTTGACTCTTGAGACACGGTTTTTATCATCACGAGTTATAAATAATGTACTATACCTACTTTATAATTTTAAATTCAAAACATAGCTTAACCTAACCGAACTATGTCGTGTTCAAGTTCTGAAAATTGTCATTAAAAGTTAATTGGTAGGTCTATAATAAAATATTTGTATCCGAATTATCAGCAAGTGTCTATTACAAGAGTTGCAAATGTTAAATGAATAATAAATTTTGTATTTATATATTGTGATAACGATAAGAGTGTTCTGTAAAATCGTATCTCTGATGATCGATAAGTGTTGCCTGCGCCTATTTTTGTTTGTTCAGAAAAGTATGCTCAAGTCACAATAGGAATAATCTAGCCAGTTTGAACCCGGCAGATTTTCTTTCCTATGCATGTCTTATTTACCTGAAAATATATACGAGTGATGGGATATTGTAAGCTTGCACCTAGCACGACGACAGGTTAGGTTAATAATTAATATTGACTACGGCAGTCAACAAGTGTCGCCCAGAAGGCTGGAATATTTTCATTAAACGGTTTGAAGGAGAACAATTCTCAGAGTCGTAGTCGTTGGAAAATAGGTTTTTGGGAAAGGCGGGGAAGGTTTAGTCGATAGTAGTGTAGCGGTTGTGGTGTTGGGACGTGGGCGGTTTGCAAACGGTCGGGAGTCAATTCGCGTCGGACGGTTTGCGCGTCGCGAACATCTGGTTCTCTTCAGCCGCGGCGTCGGATCAAAACCGTTTTATCCGGTCGACGTCCGCGCGCAACATTATATTTTATTCTCATATAGAAATAATAATATGGACCGGATCCGGGCCGCCGCGGAATCGATCGCGATCCGCCCGGACGGCACCGTCGCTCTTCCTGTACATTACAAATTTTTTTTTTTTTTTTCATATTTATATATATAATATATTTAGCACGCCCGCCCGACACCACCAGAACGTTTAACGAGCTACGCGTCGCGGGCAGCTAACATGTGTTGCGGCCAATAGTCTCGCGCGCGGCAGATGCGGTGCCCGCACTTGCACACGCACAAAATTATACACTATATGATGTACAATACAACCGCCTAGCGATCCTTTTGTACGGATCACGAGTGGCACTGCACCCTCACCACTCGTCGTCGTCGACGTCGCAGTCGTCGATGCCGTCGTTATAATATTATATATTTGTGCGCGCTCTCGACGGGGGCCGCGTTAATCAACCTTTTCCGCACAACATATGGAACGTTTTTCATCGCGCATATGCCGGCCTATATTATATACATCATACGATGTATGTGTGTGTGTTTGTGTGTGTGTGTGTGTGTGTGTGTGTGCACGACCCGCGAGGGTCACGTGAGCCTATTCCACCACCGCGAACATTGAGTCATACACCGCGGACAAATATAATACATGTATATACATCAGACGGAGGTACTGCATAATAATAATAATAATAATAATAATAACATACATATCAATATTAGATAATATATACTTACGACGATATTATATACGCGATTATCACACTCGTCCGATATCGTAACGTACTCGGATAGCGGCTTGACCAAGTGAGCTGCATTGGTCGTCTGACTAAACTATAGAATTGTTTACCGTGCGATTGTCTTCACTCAGAGCACCTTCCGTGTTGTCTGGTATCCATAAGGGCGTTTCGTGTGTTTTGAAATTCTGAGCATTATTGAACGGTTTAACAGCCAATCGTTATGTGATTTTATTATTTTCAATTGAAATACCGTACAAACGGTGTATATATTTTAAATAACCACGTTTTTTGTTGTATAGGTATTATAGACACTCGCCCAAACCGACCCCATTTGGCACGGTCGATTCGCTTAAATGGGTCACGCCCGCATAACTATTGAGACCAGATCAATTTCGTGATACCGCAATAGTAAAAATTGATCATCGAGAATCATGTATGATCTTATATGAAACGCGGGCATACACTGTATCTTAAACGATATCATCACCGGTGAGGTCTCGGCATACTCGTATTGTTTGTTGTAGCGGGGAATATAATAATAGCAGTAAATGCAGTATCGAGAAAAAAATGTTGTAGATGTTTTTGAAAACTATTTATTTATAATTTGAAATATTATATCAGACTCGAGGGCGTATTTCGAGTGCATTTTCGAAAGGTATTTAAAATATTCTTTAATAATTCAGTTAATTCGAGCTTAAAAATATATCTTGCAAATGTGTCGTCGGATCTAATACAATTAATATCATTATGCTATTTGGATATAAATATTTTGATAGAAATTAGTAAAAATGTAAAATACTTATCGTTTGGTAATTATTTTTAAAGTCGTGGAGGAGGTTGTCCAGGCATAGAGTCCCACTCACATACGCTAATGACCTGACCATCAAGTATTTACATTTAATAAAAAAAATCAGTGAATGATTCAGAGATGGTTTGGATACATGGAACACCCTTCTGTGTAGGTTCCTATTTTATTATATTTTATTTTATTTTATTTGATACTTCAATCGTTGCGAAGAATCTACCACGTGGTAATTCCGACGAAGAGCACATCTTAATTACTTTGTTATTATTTATCCAATTAATTTGATGACAAATAAGTTATGTATATGGTGGTTATACGTGTTGTACATTACCTAGGGTATTAAAATACGTGATTTTTAAGAAAGCGTGAAGTGACAACGAATTCGAATAAAAACAGTAGACCAAATGGGGTAATTTAGACATGTCTTAGCAAAATTGTAAGATTAACGAAACGTGCGTAGCTTTGTGAGGGTACAGTGTGTATATTTTGTGTAATAGCAACGACTAAATAGCCTATAACGGATACACGTGTGACCTAACCACATACAATTGTTTACAATCCAGAGATCGATAAATG